TTAAAAAGACACACAAATAGTTATACTTACATGAATATTTTGCCTGTGTAACAAGGTTAAGATCCTAAAAGCTGAATTATTTTACTTGCGCTCTAAAATAGAATAAAGTAATAAATACATCAAGTGATTCTCTTGCCTTCTGTTCCCCATCTTTAGGAAACCTACCATGAATAAACGGCTTCCAAATAGAATCACAGTTTCTCCTGACAGCCCGCCTCGTGTCCCTACCCTCAACCCTCCCCCTGAAACTGAACATGGCCTGTCCCCAAGCACACAGAGGGAGGGATGAGGGGACTGAGGGGTCACAGCAGCCTTGGGAGTAAAAGAGACCCAGTTTCCAAGGAGGCCACAGCAGGCTTTGTAGGTCCATTCCTGATCTTGACAGGGTGACAAGAGCCAGGCCTTGCAGGTCACGGGCAAGTCCACAGGTCAGCAGAGCAGCCTTGTTACTATGCCCAGTCCTCATGTCATCCTCGCTGTGTGCGTCGTGAGGTGTCACTCCCGGCAGGAGGAAGAGGACGTCCTCCGTTGAAGCATGGCAGTCACCTCACCACAGCCTTCCTCCACCTGCTGCTTCTCCTGGAGCGCGCCGATGCCTCAGGACGAAGGCGCGGAGGATGGGCACCTGGGCAGAAGGTTGGTAGTGAGAGCTGACATCGACAACTCAGCCCCAGCCAGGCCCTGCTCTACGGCTCTCGTGGGTCCAGTCACTTAGTCCTGAACCCCCCAGGAGGTGGAGAAGGCTTCACTGCACGCCGAGAAGAGGGAAGAGGCTCTGAGCTGTGGTAGGGAGCTGCCCTCCAGCTCTGCTTCTGGGCCCTCTGCTTCCCCATGCTGCCCCTGACCCTGAACTGGTGACCACAGGCCCCTCTCCTCTCCCTGGGCTGGATGGGGTCTCCAGAAGAACTCCCTCTAAATTCTCAACTTCACGCTGCACCCTGTGTTACTCCCCTGGGATCACTGCTCAGCCATCTCCCTGTCACTGTAGAGTGGATCCTGCATCATCTCACGTGAATTTCAGGCACTAACAAGTAGGTGAGGGTGTTCAGGAGGGACAGGAGCCTTCCTGGTGTCTCTGACCCCCCTGGGTGATACGTCCTGAGTCTCACAGAAGCATCACCTTTTATGGGCGGCAGTCAGCTCCTGGGGGATGAGGAGGCCTCTCCAGGATGGGATCCTCCTACCAATGTCTACTGCATCTGCTGCCCACTGACCCTCACCCTAGGACCATGTGGCAGACCTATTTGGGTCCTGTCTGAAGTCATCAGGACACAGGGTACCTACAGCCCAGCTCTGGCTCCCACACTGCCTCTCCCCGTGGGAATTCACCTCCTCCCAAGACCCTGATTTTTGTCTTCTGGAAGAAGGACTGAACACGGAATTCTCCCTGGGGGTTACACTGGAGCCCTTCTCACTGAGAGACCCTGAGCCACCCTCTCTCTACCCTGAGCTTGACAGCTCTCTGGCTGTGGGTACAGAGTCCTCTGATACCTGGGTGTCCTGACAAAACCATCAGCCCCAGTTGCTGCAGAAACTCAGTAGGAATAGGGCCCATGGAGCCCCTGGTATCACAGTGAGCCCTCAGTTCACCACCTACCTGGTAGTTCCAGAGCAGAAGCTGAAGGAGAACTGTGTGGAGAGGACCCTGCTGGGAGGGCAGCCACCCCCTCCCTTTCTCCTAGGATTCATCCAGCCTACTGTTCATCAACCTCTCCAACTTCAAGGGTAGTGCAGTCCCTGACCTTGGCTTCTACTGTAGTTTTTACCATGGCTGACCACATGCGCCCAACCAGCTGGAAAGGAGGCCTCCTCCATGCACCTCTCTAGAGCAGCTGGACCAGGTATCCCTAGGAGGATGGCACAGGCCACCTGGCACATTGTGACATTCCTAAGGCAGACTGTGGTCAACTGAAACCTTGGTGGAAAGGCCAGCTGCTGTCATTGGTTGCCTGGAGGAGTGGCTCATTAGTGACAAGCCACAAACTGTCATCGTGATGTCTGTCCCTCCATGGGGGAACCCTACAGGATGGGAAATGCTCAGAAGCTATGGGAGTTGTCCTTTTTTACTTGTTTTAAGTTCTACTGTAGAAGCCCGGTGAGCACGCTCATTTAAGAGTACCATGCCAGCAGTTTCCTCTCCTCATTGCCTGCACAAAACACACACATACACTAGCGTAGGTGACAGAGCCCTCTTTGTCTCATCCCTCTCTCTGTCCTTTTTGCGTAGTGTCCCAGCCCAGCACAGGGTCAGATTTACAAGATCTGGAACACAGTAGGGCCAAGTGTGTGGGATTCCATCCGATTGCTGGACCCCTTACCCAATACTGAGCCTGACTCAGAAAGGGAGGGAATGTAAGAAGAGGAGAGGTGTTTTTTAAAAAAAATGTCTGAGGCTCACTTATCCTGTGTGGAAAAGCCATGAAACCTCTCCAGGCAAACCATGCCCAAGCCTGGTCCTCCCAGTCCACATTCACTGTCACCTTACAGGCTTCCGGCTGCCATTCTGTGATTCAGTCTGTCCTCCATGGCTGCCTAACAGCTGCCTCCCCCTGGTCGCAGGATTGGGTGCCCACAGCCCCTCTGGAGTGATTCTGACCCCCATACCCTTAGGGAGAAGCAGGCCTATCGCTTTGTCTTCCATCAGTCAAGTCTGTTTTCTCCATGGTGGGGCTACTAAGCACCCCACTGGCCGACAAGGCGGAGTTAATATGTGTGACCGGGGCAGACCTCGGAGGGTGTCCCACACCACCCTCCCGCAGAGGGCAGGAAGTGCTGGTGTGCTTCGGTCTATCCAAGCAAGCTCAGGGGACAGGTCTTAAGGAAAATGCGCACAGGCTCACTGAGTGCTGGACACTCATTTCTGCTTTCAGAAAGACGAGTTTCCTGTCCTCTCCCTCCCCTCCCCAGCTCACACGGTGGCAATGGAGCATTCACAGGGAGCCTGTGTGGCTGCGTACAACTTGCAAGTGAAGTTTCTCCTTGAGTTTTGAGTACTCACATTTTGTTCTCAACGATTCATTAACTTAGATCCATTGGTTAAATTTAATGGCGCATTCTAAGTGGGGAAGAGGAACAGGGGACACAATGAGCAGTGGTACTGACAGAAAATAATGTGTATTTACACACATGCATAGCCTGCCTAGAGATAAATAAAGGTGGGGAAATAACGATATAGAGAGAAACTGACCCGCCCAAATTGACAGTAGATACCAAAAAAAACTCAATGGTCATACTTCACTAAATGTAACCTTATAAGTTACATGATTACTTCTATGTTTTGCTAAAAAAGAAAAGAAAAGAAGCAAAACTTGCCAATGAAGCCATGATACATTTCATTGATTGTAAGACACATTCCAATTTAAGAAATGTTAAAATGTGAAGAAAACACCTAGGTTAAAATGGATGAACTGTGGTACTAAAAAGTCACACTGAGTCCGACTAACCAAGAATAGTGGTTCTCAATGTATCCAGATAGTTTGTTTGCTACCAAGGAAACCATTCTTATGAGAATCTATTGGTTGAAAAGTAATTTCTAATTAATACAGAAATGTAGGCAATTTTGGTCAGTGCCTTAAAGGACAAGTAGCCAGGTCAAAAGTCTTCTTCCAGATTTATAAATACGTGAATTTTCCAAACCAAAAAGTTGTCCTTTACTGGAAAGAATTTTGCACAAGGAGACTGGGGAGAGGTTTTACAGACAGTGGGTTCTCACTCTGATTCGGCCCCTGATTAGCCGGGTCCTACAAGTGCTGTGGGCCTTAACTTACTGTCATGTCAAATCCGTGGGTCCAAAGGTCAAGTTCAAATAAACTCAATATTTAAAATTCCCTCAAAGAGCACACTCCTAGGACTTTCCTTTTCAGCAGGATATTCCCAATGTATAAGATGCAGAAAAGTGCTAATGGAGAAGGCCCTGTTGATTCTCTTTGCAGATGAGCCCTGACTACTAAGCAGCAGCAGTGATCTCTGCATAGTTAAGGAAGACCTTGGATCCCGGGTGCTGTGCCTGAGTGGAGGACTTACCTCTGCTGCCCTGGGCTTCCCCTCAGCGAGGATATCCGCATCCTCAAGGCATGTCTTATCTGAAAAGCAGTGACAGACAGCATAACCTCACAGTGTCTCCAGGGTTCCCCAGGCTCAGACTCGTGTTCTGAGACCTTGAGACCAGTGACCCTGGTAAAACCAACATCAGAAGCTGTAGCGTACACTTTCAAATCACCAGAGCTGAGCAACAGTTAGAGTGCAATGATAGCAAGAGTTAGTATGAAGATGAAAACTGTGGTCATCGTTCTATTCTACTCCCCAACAAGACCTACAAAGCCCACGGAAGACTTGAGAAAGCAAAGCACGAAGCAGTGGAACTCTCTCCTTTCTTCCTCCTACCAGATGCACTGAAATAACCTCACAACCCCAACTGCCCTGGACCATGCTCTCCCATCCAAACTGCCGCATCCTCCTGCTTCCTTTGGCCCCAAGGAAATCATCACAATGAATGAAGCAAATTCAAATTACCTTGTGATCCATAATGGTCCCAAACAGCAAGATGAAGAAACCCTGGAGGAAAACACAATAAAATCATGACGGACAGCCTTGTAAAGAGTATCCTGGCTATTACATGAATACTAGTCTTGCAGATAACTTCTAGGGAAGTAACTGGATATTAGAAATTTGTCTGCATGGACCCAGATGGGAAATTCCTTTGAGTCACCCCCATTGGGTGAGGGTCACCCTCACAGGGGTGTTGGTGTTCAGAATAAAGTTGTCAACCTTATTAAATCTTTTACATTCTTCCCAAATATTGAAGTAGCTGTTCTTACTCATGGTGACAGTTACACAAAACATGAAAGCTTGTAATTCAAAATCGCAGTCCTGGGAGTTAACTTAAGAAATAAGCTGAGAGTTAATATTCAGTATATATGCAACCATGGGCTCTGGGCTGGAGAGAGAAGGTTCCATATAAGAAAAAGAGAAAGTTTTAAGGACCTGAGAAAGCAGGAGGGTCTCCTCACCACCAAGGGTAGTTTCATGGTGAAGAAACATTAACAGGATGTGAGTCACAGGGAAAGCTTGCAGAGAAAAGAGGATTGTGCACAACTGAAAGTACTGCATATTTTTCTTTTTTCCAGACAAAAAGAGAAACACGTATGATCTGAAAAAAGAAACACAGAACAAAATTTCTTGCGGTTTAACTAAATTGTAAAATAAGACAGAGGATGAATTCATTAGTCACTAGAGTAACTTCAAGAGTGGGAAAAGCTTTTGATGTTCCAAAAAAAAAAATTGATGTCAAAGGTTTCTCTTTAAGGCAATACAACAGGGAGAGCAAAAACAATGTGCTCTATATGAAAGAATTATGAGTAAAATGTGTGTGATATGAGTTGGGACTTCTTTAAAGTCTGTTTTATGTTTTGTATCTTGCCTTTTGGTAGAGTAATAGTGACGTGTTAATAAAGATACCCTGATGCTTTATCAAGTAATTGTGTGTATATAATTTAAAGTGGTGGTCAGAATATTTTTTCTGAAAAGAAGCAGACAGTAAACATTTCACTGTCTCTGCGGCTGTACAGTCTGCCACAGTGACTCCAATGTGTCATTGGAGCTCGGCAGCAGACAGAGGGAAACGCAAGGAAATGAGCACGTCTGTGTCCAGTAAGAGCTTATTTACAAAAACAGGCAGCAGGTCACAGTTCACCAGCCCCTGATTAAAAGCGTACCTAAGACTGTGGACCTGCTGAATGTTCTATTACTCATAGGTATAGAAAGCAATTTGGCTAATGACAGCTTTTCAAAAGTACAAGTTTAGTAGCAAGAAGGAGGAAAACAACTGTTCAATGGACAGTCTCACCCAATCGAGGATGGGAGGGGGCAACAGAGATCATTTTAGATTCGTATCTTAAAATTACAAATGAGAAACTTGGGGCCCAGAGAAAAGTAACTTTCCTAAGACCAAGCAGCAAATGACAAGATCTATTTCTATCAATAACAAATTACATTTATTTCACAGCGAATAGCAGGGGAGAGTCACGAGAATTCCTGACTGGTAAATATCTGAAGTGACTACCAGCAGCCCTTTCCTCCTACTATAGAAAATGGAGGGCCGGGGATTTGGCTCAGCGGTTCCGTGGCCTGCCTGGCAAGTGCAACGGCCTGAGTTCAACCCCCGGTACCTAAGAAAAAGAAAAGAAAGAAAGAAAATGGACATTTCACTCAGGGTCCAAACCACTGGAAAAAGATAAAATTGTGCTTATTTTGAAGCTTAATAAGAGAGTAGCTTTATGCCCTGCTGGCCAGTAGAGAGTCCTCTAAAAGAGAAGTTTGTCTTCTGACCCTGAAATTTTGGAGGGATACAGGCAGACTGAGGAAGAGAGAAGGAAGGAGAGTCCCACGCGACAAGCCTGAGCCAGCCTGACAGTCAATAAGGTGAGAAAGGCCACAGCTTAAGAAAGGGAGGAAATGGAAGGAGCATTCTGTATTCTCTACCTTTAAGTGGTGGCGATTTTTGCTGCCTACAGAAATCACACTGAAAGGTCTGCTTGTGGGGCTTACCTGGAAAGCATTGAGCAAAGCGAAGATGATATGGAAAACCAAGGATGTCCCTTTGATGAGAGTGGCTATTCCAAAGCCCCAGGTCAGTCCCAGCAGCGGAGTGAGGATTACAACGTTTTTGCTGATCCTCATAATTATGGCCATATCCTGAGCATTGGAGCTGCCAATAGAAGGCCTCTGGGTATTGAAGGCAACAACAAAGACCACAGCAAGATTCACAGCCACCACGACCAAGGCCGGGATGGCAAACGCAAACAGGGCTTTGCTTGTGTCCCAGTTCAGCCAGCACACGTCCCGTCTCATGTAGCTTTGCTGTGGCTCTGTGACAGCAACTGTGGTGGCAGCAATGACCAAGGGGCACCCGTAGCCAACGGCAAAGGCAATGGCTATCATCCGGGACTTCATCACCCTCCGGAAAACCACCAGGATTCCGTAGAGGATGAGCAGCGCCTTAAAGAGCATCCAGAAGAACAAAGAGAGGTAGAAGAAGTGGCTGAAGAAGGTCACAGCAACGCACCAGCTGTAGCCCTTGGCCTTGACGTCGAAGTTGGAGCCAACGATGAACCACGTGTTAGCAGCCAAGAGGGACACTGCTATGTTCACCAGGCACACGTGCCTCATGTGTGACATCTCTGTCACAGCCACGCGGGGCCAAACCATGGCTTCAATGATCAGGCAGAGAACCAAGCTGAGGATGGAGACGCTGAGCCCAATGCAAGTGATATAGTCCAGGACTTTGTCCACCACCGACTGCGGGGACATCAGGATGGAAAAAGACCTCATGGTGCTGGTGCAGTTACAGCGGCATTGGACCACGCCTCTGGCATCCAGTGTGGTTTTGCACACTGTCTTATCCCACACGCTTTTCCTGGAGTGCCAGCCAACACACTGCGCCTTGGCGTTCCGAGATTTATTGATTTTCTCAAAGGTGAGTAGGATTTCTCTCAGCCTTTCTGGCAACACGACTGACAGAACCAGACCATTGGGGGATCCGCTCAGACTCCCATTTGGTGAGTGGGTCTCTTTCAGAATGGCTCCCAGTGTGGGGAAAGCTATGCCAATGGCTTGGGATGTACTGGGCAGTTTCTGAAGCTCCTGCCAGGGAATTTCTACCATTCCTGAGATGCCTTCTGTGCTATTATTCACATTCAAGGAGAAATTGAGACCTTTCCCTGGGGCACTGTGATCGATGGGAAATCCTTTGGTCTGAATGAAGAGCTCGTCCACAATGTCCTCGGATTCATTGTTGACGTGGAAATGACTGGCAAAGGAATTCACCGAGTGCAGTAGATCCGAGCTGGCTCTCTTGTCAGGAACAAAAGTCCAATTCGCGAGGGCTGCTGGACTGAGGATGTGGTTGGCCACTTTACTGTAGCTCTGCAAGGGTAAGAAGTCCCACATTGCACAAAATCAATTTCTAAAATCAAATTTCTGGGGCCAGAGATTTAGCTCAGTGATTCTGCTGCCTGCCTTGCAAGCCCAAGGACCCAAGTTCGAACCCCAGTACCAAAACATAAACAAAATAAAATTTCTGATGATCTGATTATCTGATCTTACTTCAGATTCCCAGGGCTTTAGAATTTCTCATTAATAAGGCCTCACATGAGGAAGGAGAGTAAAAGAATGCCTGCTTTCTTACTGTGCCAAAGGCAGCATTTCCAATCTGCAGGGCCTGGCACCCACATTTCCCATGAGATATGCACAGGAGTGGCAGTGGATTCTATGGCTATCTAAGTTTGAGAAATGCCACACACTGCATCCATACACCCCTCCCTGTTATATCAAGTACATTCATTAACACACTACAGGCTCTAAAAAGTTTTGCCATAAGGAAAGCTGCAGGACTTTGTTTACCTAGAACCATGGTGCCTTAGATCTCCATTTTAAAAACGGAGCTTCCATTAACACCTCTACAGAAGATAGTTTTAGAAATGCTGGAGTAGTAGACTCAGTCTTGCTAGTGGTCACCAGCATGGGTTAAAAATATTCTAACTTATGTGAAATAGGAAGAAAAAAGGGATAAAGGTGTAGGGGAAACAGGAAGGGTAGGGGAAAGGTAATAAGGGAAAAGGAAAAAAATGATAAAATGAAAATGGAAATAAAGTATTTGTAAATAGGGAAGGGAGGAGGGGGTGAAGGGAGGGCAGGGATAAGGGGAACAAAAGAGAACCAAGACCTGTCATGTAAAGGTACAAGATCCCAATGATGAATGTATACTGTATACCTAAAATGTACCAATAAACTCAATGAGAAAAAAAATTCTAACTTATTGAGAACTTCCAACAGTAGAATGAATCAAAATGCAAAAATCAAACAGAAAAGCCTGCTGCTGTTAATACAGCTGTTACTATTTTTACCCCAAAAAGCACATTTGAAACTATAAAAGGACACTTTTTTTAAAAATATTGTCAGACTCTCAATTATATCATTTGAACCTTATTTACACTTTTAGTTTTTCACACCAGAAAAACTATTCGGTATTTACTCAAGTGTGTCCTATTTATTTTACTTAAGAGTATATAGTCTCAATGTGCATCCATTTAGCTATAAATGTCTCTAGTTTCTCATTCTTTATGGTTGAGTAGTACTCCATTTTATAGAAAAAGGGGAGGGGAAAGGAAATAAGGGAAAAGAAAATAATGTGAAAAAAGCAAAAAATAGAAACAAAGTCTTTGTAAATAGGGAAGGGTGGAGCGGGTGAAGGAACAGCAGGAGTATGGGGAAAAATAAAAACCAAGATTTGTCATGTAAAGGTAAAAGATCCCAATTGTAAAATATAACTGTACTGTATTCCTAAAAAATACCAATAAACTCAATGAAAAAAATTAAACTTCTGTGTCAAGAAATAGAAATTAGAGCAAAATAAATTGAAAGCAAGTAGAAGAAAGGAAATAATAGATACAAAAGGAGAAATGTATGAAATTAAAAACTGTAAAACAATAGAAAAATCAATAAAAGATCTTGGTTCATTTCAAAAGCATTAATCATACAAAGTTTAGCATGCTTGACAACCAAAAAGAGGATTGCATCAATCAGCCATATCAAGAATAAATCAGAGGGCTGGGGATTTAGCTCAGTGTCTCTCTGCCTGTCTTGTGAGCACAAACAAGGTTCTGAGTTCAATCAA